CCCCCCAGCTCTTAGCTCCCCCCTGGGTTTCTGATCACTGTCAGTGGCAGGGGCCTTCTTCCTGCTTTCCCTTTCACCTCCCTGCATTGTGCCTACATATGCAAATTAACCCCCATCTTAGTGGCAGTTAACTGCCATCTGAGTTGGCAGTTAATTTGCATATAGCCCTGATTAGCCAATGAAAAGGGTACCGTCACACGCCAATTACCATTTTTCTCTTTTATTAGTGTAGATAATAAGCTCAACCACTTTAAGTTCTCTTTTTCTGGGACCTATTTCAGTAAAATACAAAAAAAAATTTTTCAAGACCTAGAAAAATAAAGATGGTGGTGCTTTTTACTTAATATGGTTTTCAATTTATAATCTTTAACACCTTTTGCAGCTTCTGGTTAATATCTCCTTTGGCTGTAATCTTTACTTGAAATTCTGCCTCATATTCTTCTTCCACGTATCGACGACGTTTGGACTGTACGTTGTCCATGTCCTCAGATTTAGAACGTTTTCTTCTGGAAAATTCAACTGAGGACAAAAAGCATAATGATCTGTCAGGTGTCTTTTATTATATAACTTAATGCCAATTCTCCACCCTAAGCAAAATATTATTTCTAGCTATCACAATGGCATTATCAATCAATTATTTTATGAATTACTTTTTTTTAAATATATTTTTATTGATTTTCCACAGAGAGAAAGGGAGAGAGATAGAGAGCCAGAATCATCGATGAGAAACATCGATCAGCCGTCTCCTGCACACCTCCTACTGGGGATGTGCCCACAACCCAGGCACATGCCCTTGACCGGAACCGAACCCGGGACCCTTCAGTCTGCAAGCCGACACTCTATCCACTGAGCCAAACCGGTTTTGGCATGAATTACTTTTGAGATCAGAAAAATAGACAGGTAGCTTTTAGCTTTCAACTTGAAATGATTTTCAATATGCTAAAAAAGAATTTCCTAATGGCTAAGCAATGTACACTGTAAATACAAAATATCTTATCACTGAAATCTTCCTATTAAGATGGAGAATCACTTAAAAATGTGATTATGAAATGAGAAGAAATAAGCTTATACTGATTCCCATTGCTAAATATTATAGTGAACACTAATCCTCTGACAACATACAGTATTCAGTCTCTGTCACAGATTTTTAACAACTGTGTGCAGCTTCAACTATTTAATTCTTCTTCCTCAGTAAATATTTCCCTCAGTAAATCTAGAAAAAAACTCCTACTTAAATATCAGCCTCAGGCAAATAACATGATAAATGTTATTCTTTTTTTTTAAATAATAGAAATTCTTAACATATCCTAATGAATTTCAAGTATATAAAAATAATAAAATTAATGACAATTATAAAAGTGTATTTGGTAAAGAATAAATATTCAAAGATCTTCACTTAGAAAATTTCGATTTCAAATAGTGTTAATATTCATGAGCTCATAAGCAAATTTTAACTGGTTTCTTTTTCAATACATAAAAAGTGAACTCCTGGCCAGGTGGCTCAGTTGGTTGGAGTGTCACCCCATACACCAAAAGGTTGTGTGTTCAATTCCCACTCAAGGCACATGCTTAGGCTGCGGGTTCAATCCCCTGTCAGGGTACGCATGGGAGGCAGGCTATCAATGTTTCTCTCTCACATTGATGTTTCTCTTTCTTATTCCCTCCCCCAACACCCCTTACTCTCTCAAAAAATCAATGAAAACATAATCTTGGGTGAAGATTTTGAAAAATCAAGTGAAAATATTAAAATCTTTACACTGATTAAAGGCAAATGCCCTCATGTGACCACACCTACCACTCTCCACTTTACTCTCTATCCATATCTATGTGCCTCTTTTTAAAATCCAGTTATACTCTATGACAGTGATGGCAAACCTTTTGAGCTCGGCGTGTCAGCATTTTGAAAAACCCTAACTTAACTCTGGTGCTGTGTCACATATAGAAATTTTTTTATATTTGCAACCATAGTAAAACAAAGGTTTATATTTTTGATATTTATTTTATATATTTAAATGCCATTTAACAAAGAAAAATCAACCAAAAAAATAAGTTCGTGTGTCACCTCTGACACACGTCATAGGTTCGCCCTCACTGCCATGACTACACTTATAATCATAACTTTAAGTCATACATAGAGAGCAGTATGAAGGGATAGTTACAGAACCCAGGTTTCCTGACTTCTAGTCCAATGATCTTCCTATAAACTTAATAATACTCAGTCCCATCGTTTCCCACAAAGTTTGAGAACCTTAAGGAGAGTGAGACACATACTTCCATTCACTAATATCACCCCAGAAAAAATCCTTATAGTCTCATGCTTTAAACATAAATCTAAAACAATTTCTCTCAAGATTTTAAGACAGTACCTAAATATTAAGCTTAAATCTTTCTTATGGAACAGGAGAAAGTATAAATAAAATAAAACACTGAAGTTTATAAAATAATCTTTTCAAATATCCTTAGCCATCAACAAAATGATTTAACGGTGGCTTACTTAAATTGCAAAATTTTATAATCATCTCATGGACATTAAAGTATAGTCCACAGTCTTCAAACTAGAATGAATGATTTACTATTTTTCAAACCAGTTCAGTTTTTTTGGACATGCTTACTTTTCTTAGAAGTTCTTTCATCTTCATGTATTACTACTTGCTCTTTTTCCTCTGGTTTCCTGTCCTTTTCATTATTTTGAGCCTCTGTAACAAAAAAGAGAACAGAAAACATTACTTCCATTAGAATTCATAACAGCACATGAAAATTTACACTTTTGGTATAAATATTCAGTTAATAATTGTTTATGACATCAGTCTCAAGATATGAAATTTTAGGAATTAAAAGGGAGCATGAACTGGTAGAAATGAATGACCAAGTCCACTTTCAAGTGTTCCTACAAATTCATAATAATCTCTTAACATGGACAAAAATTAATAGTACAGATTTTTTTAAATAAATACTCCTACTTAGTAATTTACTGTCAGCCACAGATTACTAAAATATATTAAGAACTACCATAAAGCAATTAGACTCCTTACATTTAATTACTAAAATTAAAAAAGGGATTATGACTATTACAAACCACTGGCAAACTACTGCCAAAACACCTAATTACTTTGACCAGACAGGTTGAACCATTGTTATTCAATGGTTATGGGACAGTTCATAAAGGAGGAATGGAAAAGCTATCCTAAAAATAATGATCATTTTACTTAAAAGTAATAGCTACTTTGATACCAGTCCCAACAACCAAGCTAGGTGCTTAACATATATTATTTCATATACTCGGTATAAGTTTACACTACACACAATATTTTTGTCATCATATAGATGAGGAAAGTAAAGTTCAGATAAGTTGTCTTCACTAGAGGCATTTAAAATACAACAATTTAAGAGTGCTACCCAAAAATATTGTTAAAAGTGTCTATACAATTTCACTGCTCTAACAAAATCCCAGAGGTACCACAAATAGCCTTTGGCCAATCAACCTATACCTCATCTACTAATCAATCATTAAATGGGAGAGAAGAACAAATCACAAATATGTTTGGGCTTCCGTTTTATCCCCCTTTACATCACTGCAACTGGCTCCCCAGTCGCTTCAATAAGGCACGCTGTTTAATCATATTCTGCAACCAAAATAAAATAAGCAATCACAAGGTGCACTATATAAAAATTTTGATATGGCATGTCTTATGCAAACACCAGGGTTTTCATCCCAACAGCCCTGTGGGTAGAAAGTCAAGTTAAAAAAAAACTTAAAAGACCTTATAAGTGAAAACAGGCAAAGACCAGGATCACAGATGAACCTATTAAAGCTCTTACAAATACAATTTTCACACTAATAAAACAATAAAGTTGTAAAATGTGACTATAGTAAAACAAAGCAAAATAAAACAAAAAAGCTAGCACTATATAGATAGATAGATAGATAGATAGATTAAAACTATTTTTAAACTTTAAAATAAATGAGTATTAGAATATTAACTTTCCATTTATCATCCTATGCTCATTAGAAATGTTTTTAAAATCTCATGCCTCAATCCTAGTTTCAATTAAATGAAAATTTATTTTGCTCCCTTGTAGGCTACAAACTCATTACAAAGCATTTTTTCTATATACAGTAGTATTTAGTTTTCCAAACATTTCTGATTTTAATACTGAAAATGATGACAGGTCCTGAGTTTCCTAGTCCCCAGTTTCCAGACACACGAGTAAACTGGGTTGTCTGTAATGAAGGTTTACAGTCTTTGTTGAGCAAATTATCGTATCACTCAAAGAACAAAATTAGCCATGGCTCCAATTAGGGTAACTGCAAGCCAGATAATCTAGAACACAGCAGAGGCAATTGGCCTGGTTTAGTCTACCTCTTTTACGCATATATTAGCTCCCTCTTGTCTTACAGGTATATCAAGCTTAGCTTAAGATTCTTTCATTTTACTCAAAACCTCCTCCTATCACCTAATTTCCATTTTCCCTATATGCTTAGAAGATATGCCTGGATTCTCACCTCTTAAAATACTCATTAGGATTTTAGAATAGACACATAGAATTAAAATTTATATTCTAGTTTTATTTAAAGAACTCTGGATAAGAAAAATGGTATTAACAGATTCTACAGAAAGGAGTAAGGCCCTATATTTCTTTAATTTTTTGTTCCTAAAGTCTCAAGAGAATCTGAGTGCACCTCCTTCAACCCAGAATAATAAACAAAGGCCCATGTACATACATTTTTATATATAATTTAAAGTAGTTCCTGAGACTTCTGAAACTCATCTGGATGCTTAAAACTGCCTCCATTCACAGATAGTTTCTGCTGTAATTCTTCTGGTATTGAGTATAGCCTCATTACAAACTGCCATGTTTAATAAACAGTTCTAAGTGTGGGATTCTTTCAATCAGGCTAGACCAGCAATTTTCAACCAGTGTGGTGCAGCATACTGATGGACTGTAAGAATTTTTAAAGCATGCAATGCCTGCCCTGGCTGGTACTGCCCAATGGTTAGAGAGTAAACACATGGACAGAAGGGTCCCAAGTTTGGTTCACAGTTAATGGCACATACCTGGGTTGCAGGTTCAATCCCCACCCCACAGTTGGCATTCGAGAGAAAACCAATCTATGTGTCTCACATATCAATATTTCTCCCTTCCTCTCTCCCTCCCTTTCCTCCCTCCCTTTCTCCCACTCTAAAAATCAATGAGGAAAATATCCTTGGGTGAGGATTAACTAAAGAAACAAAACACACAACAAACAAATATGCAATACCTGACTATTTAGTCAGGGGTACGGACCTCTTTTCCCTTAGATTGTCAAATTAAAAAAATGACAACAGCAAACATAATACCCGTCCATTGTGCATGAATCAAAACTATACCTGTTTTTAATGTTACATTGACAAAAAATATAATATATATTTTGGTATGCCACAGAATTTTAGTAATTACTTTATATGTGCCATGAAATGAAAAAGGTGGAAAATCCCTGGACTAGACAGTAAGCTCCTTAGGAGCAGGTACCACATCTTAAAACTTTAGTAATCCTAAAAATCTATGGGAAAAGAGCCGAGACAAAATGTTTAATATCTATCTGATAACCATTATTTTAATAAGATTCCATTAAATAAAGGTAGAAAAGGTATGCTATAGAGGATTAAAAGACAGAATTTATATCAGGAAATTAAATTTCCCATTTTCAGAATTACCTTCTAGAGAACTTTACTCCAAGAAAATATAGACAAAACTGTTGCCTTGGATCAGGGTTTGGCAAACATTTTTTATTTAATCAATGACCAAAAAAAAGGTAAACAAATGGGTCTGGCTATATCCCAATAAAACTTTATTGACAAAAACACACAAGGCCTAAGGCCATAATTTGCCAATCCTCTGCCTTAGATTATTGGCTCTGTAAGAACATTTAAAACAAAACAAAAAATTCCTTTCCAAAATGGCAGCAGAGTAAGTGGAAGCTACAAGGACCAGACTGGAATTACAACTAAAACACAGAAACACCATCCCAAACAATCAACTGAAGACAAGCTGGAGGGAACCCGGATAACCAAGAACAGAAAGTAGAGACTGCATAGAGACTTGTGGGAAGTGCAAAAGCGCAAACGGACTGTCGAGGCTTCCACAGACAGCAGCTGAATTTCCAGAGAGATATCTCAGCTGTGGGGCATTCCCACTGAGAACTCTAGGGTCTAAACCACAAGCTCAGTGGCCCAGCCCAGAGCACCAGAACTGAGAAAGGTGCCCATATAATAACTGGCTGTGAAAAGCAGCAGGGTTCAGATGGCTGGAAATGCAGGCACCCACTTAAAGGGCCAATGCACAAAATTTGATGTGCAGCCACTAACCTAGGGGTTCAATCCTCATCCTATATAATAAAAGACTAATATGCAAATCGACCAACCACAGAACGAACGGTCACTATGATGCGCACTGACCAGCAGGGGGCAGACACTCAATGTGTACCCACAGGGGGAGCACCGCTCAGCCAGAAGCCGGGCTCATGGCTGGCAAGTGCAGTAGTGGCAGCAGGAGCCTCTCTCGCCTCCACAGCAGCACTAAGGATGTCCGACAGACGGCTTAGGGGAGTGGGCCAAAGCCGTCAGTCAGACATCTCCCAAGGGCTCCTGGACTGCAAGAGGGTGCAGGCTGGGCTGAGGGACTCCCCGAGTGCACAAATTTTGTGCACCGGGCCTCTAGTCTTGGATAAAAAGCAAACTGGAAATAGAGGGATCATATCTTAACATAATAAAGGCCATATATGACAAACCTACAACCAACATCATACTCAATGGGCAAAAACTAAAGCCCTTTCCCCTAGGAACAGGAACAAGACAGGGATGCCTACTTTCACCACTCTTATTCAACATAGTACTGGAAGTGCTAGCCACAGCGATCAGACAAGAAGAAGAAATAAAAGGCATCCAAATTGGAAAGGAGGAAGTAAATCTCTCATTATTCATGATACAATATCAATATCAGGTACATGATATTGTACATAGAAAACCCTAAAGATTCCACCAAAAAACTCCTAGATTTAATTGAATTTGGCAATCTAGGTGGATACAAAATTAACACTCAGAAATCAATGGCATTTTTATACACCAATAATGAATTCTTATTAAGAGAAATTAAACAAACAATCCCAATTACCACTGGAACAAAAAAATTAAGATACTTAGGAATAAAATTAAACAACAAGGTAAAAGACTTGTACTCGGAAAACTACAGGACATTGAAAAAAAGACATAGAGGAAGATATAAACAAGTCAAAGAATATACCATGTTCATGGATTGGGAGAATTAACATCATTAAAATGTTACTACCCAAAGCAATAGATTCAATGTAATCTCTATTAAATTACCAATGGCATAATTCACATCTAGAACGCACATTCCAAAAATTTATATGGAACCAAAAAAGACCCTGAATAGCCACAGCAATCTTGAGACAGAAAAACAAAGTTGGGAGGATCACAATACCAGATTTCAAGTTATACTACAAAGCCACTGTAATTAAAACAGGATGGTACTGACACAAGAACAAAGAGATCAGTGAAACAGAACACAGACCTCAAAAAACAACGTTAGACAAAAGAGGCAAGAGCATATAATGGAGTCAAGATAGTCTCTTAAATAAATGGTGTTGGGAAAATTGGACAGACACATGCAAAATAATTAAACTAGATCACCAACT